AGAGAGAGAGAGAGAGAGAGAGAGAGAGAGAGAGAGAGAGAGAGAGAGAGAGAGAGAGAGAGAGAAGAACGGCATACATACATCATTGGCTGATCACATTCACATTTCGGAAACACAGCAAACAGACTGGGGATTGGAATTCTCATCAAACAGATCAACAAGACGGCATATCTCAGAAAAGTGCTTTGTTCTCGGACTGCAACTGCGCACGTCTTTGGACACACCACGACAAAAATAACGTTCCTTCCCTGGAACACCACACATAACAGCTGAACTAACCACGGCAGAAAAAGGAAAAAAAAAGATGTTCGTTGGTACGCTCCCGCCTGTTTTCTTGCAAGCGAAGAAGCTGCAATGGGTCGTCTTCTAGTTATGAATGAAACCTGAACCTTTCGATAATTCCCCTTATATTGGGCTAGCTGCCCCTCTCCTCGAGCCGCTTCTCGCTGACACGATCTCCAAGCATTTATTGCAAACGAAACGAATGCTTCTGGTCGTGTTCATTACTAATGTTCAGACGCGAAGAGTCTGCTCGAGTACATAACAAATGCCCGTTCCCTACAGCAAGCAGGTTCGGAGTTCTCACGCCCACTTCGAGTCCTGGCCTTGATTGAGCATATCCGAGGGACTAATTAAAGAATTAAAGTCCATCGTTTTAGCCACGTGGCCGTCTGCTGATGCACTTAGGTACTACGCCCCTCATGAACGGTGCCGGGCGATGGTATCGTCCTCGCCTCCTCCTCCTCCTCCTCCTCCTCTTCCTCCTCTGCTGATGCTGATGCTGATGCTGATGCTGATGCTGATGCTGATGCTGATGCCTCTTGGCGGAGGGACTTTCCCGCCATTTTTCTTGTTGATATGTTCTTTATTAGTTGCTGCTGATGCTGCTGATGCCTCTCGAAGGTCGGATTTCGAACCAGATCCCGATCGCGACAACCGCTGCATGGCCAAAAAAAGGCGGGAAAGTCCCTCTGGCAAGAAATGCCGGGGGGGGGGGCGATGCGTGCCGACAAGAAGGGGGTGGCAAAATCCGTCTGCCAAGAAATGGCGAAAGGGGGGGTGGAGGGACGATGCGTGCACAAAAAAAGGGAGGGAAAAATGTCCCTCTGCCAGGAAATGGCGGGGGGGGGAATGGGGGGGGGGGGGGAACCGATGCGTGCCGAAAAAAAGGGGGGGGAAAATCCTTCTGCCAAGAAATGGTGAAAGGGGTGGAGGGACGATACGATGCGTGCCCCCAAAAAAGGGCGGGAAAACCCCTCTGCCAAGAAATGGCGGAGGGGGACCGATGCGTGCCGAAAAACAGGGGCGGGAAAGTCCCTCCCTCTGCCAGGAAATGGCGGGAAGGGGGGTGCGGGAAGCCCCTCTGCTGCAACAGGATGAGGTCCCCACGAGGCATGCTGTTCTCCTGAGTTATCACTCCTCCTTCTCCTCCTCCTTCCTCCTCTCTTCCTCCCTTCTCCTCCACAACGACGAATACTATTGCAGTCTACATCGTTGTCTTTCTTTGGAAATAAGGCCATCAATAACGGTCATCAAACCTTTTTTTTTTTTTTTTTCGCATTTCTTGCACCTCCTAAACCCGCAGGACGTCCATTTGCCGACGCAAGCACAACGCTCTTTGTGCTCTCTGAAACCGCTCCCGCCTTTCTTCTCCTCGCTTTCCGCTCTTGACCTTCCTCCTCTCTTTGCCCTCGCCAGGCTTCTCCGACGATCTCTGCACCACACTTTCCCCCCAACTGCTTTCCCCTCTCTTCGTCTCTCGCTCTCTCCTTGTGCCACAGACCCGCCCAGCAACGACCAGTACGCTGCAGCGACCGTCTCCTACCGCCCAACGACCAGTGCGCTTCAATTCAACATTACCGATTGCCCCCTACGCTACTCAGTGGCCCGAGGAACAGCACCTTTCCAAAAACTGCCGATCACCGGGGACTACGTAGGGTGGCCATGGCGGGATAAAAAGGGGTGGTGATGGGGGGAAAGAAGGGTGGTGACGGGGGGAAAGAGAGGGTGGTGATGGCGGGAGAAAAAAGGTGGTGATGGCGGGAAACAGAAGATGGCAACGGGGGTACAAAAAGGGGTGGCGATGGGGACAGAAAAGAGTGGTGATTGCGGGAGAAAAGGGGTGGTGATAGGGGGAAAGAAAGGGGGGTGATAGGGGGAAAGAAAGGGTGGTGATGGCGGGAGAAAAAAGGGTGGTGATGGCCCGAAACAAAAGATGGTGATGGCGGGAACAAAACGGTGGCGATGAGGGGAAAAAAAAGAGGGTTGATTGCGGGAGAAAAGCGGTGGTGATGGCAGGGAAAGAAGGGTGGTGGTGGCGGGAAAAGAAAAAGGGTGGTAATGGCGGGAAAAGAAAAGGGTGGTGATGGCGGGAAAAGAAAAGGGAGGTAATTTTGGCGGAAAAAAAAGAGGGTGATAATGGCGGGCAAAGAAAAGGGTGGTGATGGCGGGGAAAGGAAAGGGTGGTGTTGGCGGGAAAAGAAAAGGGTGATAATGGCGGGCAAAGAAAGCGGTGGTAATTTTGTCGGGACCCATAGCTTTCTTCACGTCACCTCCACTGCTCCGTATGTAATACTACCCAGTCCGTCATCGTATCCTTATGGGTATAGCAGGATTCGAACGTGCGACCATCAGCTTAAAATACAAGCTCAATTCTCTACGAGCTATAAGCTATACACCCAGAATCCAGATAGGCTGTAGGTTGGGTAGCCTTTGAAATGTTTTTTTTTTTCTGGTCATTTTTTTGTGTTTTTTTCTGCACCTAACGTATTAGGGACATCCTGGGCTCTGGCGTTTCAGAAAGCACAATCGCTTATCGACGGTTGCCACCTCCCTCACCTCCTCAACCACCTCCCCCACCACCTCCCCCCCCACCTTTCCTCATCATTGCCGTACCCTTTGCTTGCAAGAGGGGAAACGGTAGGTGTCCATCACTTCGGAGATGCTTCTACCGTCTTCACCCCGAATACAACGCCGGGGCATTATCCCTGTACCTAGAGTGAAAGTTGCACCAAATACGGGGCTTCGAATAAAACGCCCGGTCATTATCCCTGTACCTAGAATGACCGGGGCGTTTTATTCGGATGAAGACGGTAGCATCCCAGAAATGAACCGTGACATTGATGTGTGTGTGTGTGTGTGTGTGTGTTTCCCCTCCTTTTGTTCCCCTTTATTCCTAGGTCAGGATTGGGTAATTTACGCGCCTGCTTATTTCCTTGGATGTGGTAGCCATGAACTGTTAAAGTACAGACCCAAGTTCGAATCCAGATGCTGTCAGATATAAAACAGAATAAAATCGTTCTGAATTACCGGGGCTCGGTGAGTGATGCGTTTTTTTTGAAACGTAAAAAAAAAGAAAAGGAAAAGGAAAAGGACACGTGGAGTCACCATCGGTTGCCGACGTTGCGGGGGGGGGGGGGGGGGGGTTGGCATGGATTTCTGATCAGTGGGCCTGGCGACGAGCGTTAGGCCGTACTCACACGAGGAATTTCCTGGATGCATCTGACGGCTTTTACGGCCAGGGCTGGATGCTCCTAACCGCAATTACGTCCACGGAGTGATAAGGGCCAGATCCCACTGGCAAAGAGGATTGGAATAAGTGTCTGAATCTGGACGTGTTATACTCAGAGATGCACAAAAGCAGATCAATCAAAATCTTTTGCACCTCTCCACAAACATGTCCAGATTCAGACGCTTCTTCCAATCTTTCTTTGCCAGAGGGATGTCGCCGTAAGTTCGGAAAAAAGTCCTAATGTGACAAGCCCGTGTTTTTTTTTTTTCTTTTTTTTTCCTGTTCGTGGTTTTATTCCTGAATGCATCTGACGACTTTTACGGCCAGGGCCGGATGCTCCTAACCGCAATTACGTCCATGGATGATAAGCGCCAGATCCCACTGGCAAAGAGGACTGGAATCATAAGTGTCTGAATCTGGACGTGTTCCACGCAGAGATGCAGAAAAGCAGATCAATCACAATCTTTTGCACCTCTCCACAAACACGTCCAGATTCAGACACTTATTCCAATCTTCTTTGCCAGAGGGATTTCGCCCTAATTCTGTTCTGAATAACCTGGGGTTGGTCAGTTCGACTGCACACACACGGGGGTTGAAGAAAGAGGAGGGAGAAAGCAGCGACCGAGGAGGAGGGAGGGGTTCAATTGTGTGAAGTGGGGAATGTGACTGCACACGGGGATTGACGAAAAGAGGAGGAAGAAAGCAGCAAGAGAGGAGTGATGATGATGATGATGATGATGATGATGATGATGATGATGATGATGGTCGATTGAGCGTGTGATTAAAGAAGAGAGAGAATCCTGTTGTCTTCGCCAGAATAAACGCATGGTCATTGAGGCTGTGCGTTCTCTATTGGGTGACCACGGCGGTGCGCTGATTACTGTATTTCTTCCATTGTCTTGTTCTGCTGTTTTTTTTTTGTATTTTTTTTGTTTCTCTCGTCCCACTTCCGCCCGCCGTCCCTTCGTCAGCATTCTTTTTGCATCGCTCATTCTCCCTCTCTCTCTCTTTTTTTTTTTTTTTTTTTTTT